TGACGCGGAGCCGAGATGCAAGGCGAGCCTGGGCGCGTTGGTGCGGGGAGCTGGGGGGGGCTTTGGGGGGGAGTGTCACACAGCAAAGGAGGGGGGGAGCTAGGGGTCCCATCTAGGCAGCAGGATCCTGATGGGGGCGGGCGAGCGATGAGATGTTGGAATGACATGTCCCCAAAAGGAGGGCTGGATACATCCCTCTGCCCCGGCACCCCCCTGGAAGCATCATACCCAGACAGCTGGGTCCTGCCCTCAGCTCCCACTGGGACAGGGATGGGGAGGCGGGGACAGGCTGGGATTTAGGATCCATCTTGCACTCTGAGCTTGTGTCGTGGGAGAGGCTGGGGAGGGTCTCCTGGGGTCCCCATGCTGCTCTGGGTGGCCTGCCACAGCCTGGGGACAGGGGTCTCCACCCTGGAGGCTGTGCCCATTCACCGGGGGCCAAGCTCCCCTGTGGGCTTGGGCATCTCACCATGCCCCGGCCCCTCCAGGTGCCCCGCGTCCTGCTCTGGCTCATGATCGAGATCGCCATCATTGGCTCCGACATGCAGGAGGTGATCGGGACAGCCATCGCCTTCAACCTGCTCTCAGCCGGCCGGTGAGCCACCCCCCAGGGACCGCCCCAGCCCCCCCAGTGGCCCTGCTCTGCTGAGGGGCACGCAGCTAATGCCCCCCCTTGCCATCCCACAGCATCCCCCTCTGGGGTGGGGTCCTCATCACCATCGTGGACACCCTCTTCTTCCTCTTCCTTGACAAATATGGTGAGTGCCAGGGGAGACGAGAGGGGGGACGCTTGCCCAGGCAGCCCTGGTGCCAATGTGGCATCGGTGTCCCTCACCCTGTCCCACCCCATCTCTCAACCCCTCTAGGGCTCCGCAAACTAGAGGCTTTCTTCGGCCTCCTTATCACCATCATGGCCCTGACCTTTGGCTACGAGGTGAAGGGGGGAGCTGGGGATACCCCTTTCCCTGCAGGGTGCTGGCAGGGGACCCCCATGGGGCATCCCCGCTGGCACCGGGCTGCAGCAGGGGGGGGTGCCAGATCACAGTGCTCCTTCCCACCGGTCCCCAGTACGTGATGGTGAGGCCGAGGCAGGCGGAGGTGCTGAAGGGCATTTTCCTGCCCTACTGCCCGGGCTGCGGGCGAGAGGAGCTGCTCCAGGCCGTGGGCATTGTTGGTGCCATCATTATGCCCCATAACATCTTCCTCCACTCCTCCTTGGTCAAGGTGAGACCAAGGCACTGCCATGGGCACCACCAGCCCGGGGTGTCTCAGGGAACACGTAGAGGGTACCAGCCCTGGGGGGGCTGCAGGACAGGGGGTGCTTGCCTGACCCTGTGGCACCCATGTCACCTGCTGTGGCCAGACGCGGGAGATCGACCGGTCCAAGAAGGAGGCAGTGCAGGAGGCCAACATGTATTTCGTGACCGAGTCCTGCCTGGCCCTCTTCGTCTCCTTCCTCATCAACCTCTTCGTCATGGCTGTCTTCGGTGAGGCTTTCTACCGCCAGCGAAACGAGGATGTGGTGAGTGTCACCCCGCGCCCGCAGGGAGGTGATGGCTGTGCCCGGCT